GGCAGTGTTTTAAATAAAATAAATACACTTGCAAATTCACCTGGAAATATACTGTATTTGTTTGTGTATATTTAGCCCATAAAACAACATATACTACCATAATTTTTCAACGTTGGTGATATGAGCACTTGCATTTTGCACTTTTATTCTATTGTACATAGCCAAAACGACATGGATACAGGATGCAGAGAAAGTTTTTTTCCCACCAACTTTGTTTCAAAATTGTAAAATACATTTGCTAGAAAAGAGGCTAAACCATGTTATAGTTTCACATCTTGTGTATTGTCTTTTTGAAACTATAAATGTAATGAATGAGCTGAGCTGTATGGAGGACAAATATGTACAGTGAGTTTATTAAAAAAAATTACTACAGTTCTGAAATACTTAAATGTACTTTCTCTAATTTAAGCTTAATTTAACCTAAATATATACAGTACATTGTTTATTCTCTAGGGCAGATACACAAATAATCCGTTTAAATAGTTTTTTTAATGCACATTTTCGTTTAGTTGCTTAATTTTAAATCATGTATCACTTAGTAGAGATGAATACTACAACTTGATTCTGGCTTGAAGTAAAGTTTGGTTTGTTGTGAGAGAATCTGGTGCCCCTAAAAGAGTGATCTGACAGATAGACAGACAGCATGGCCTCTACGCTGCTGTTGTAGAAGCACACAGCACAAGGACAATAATCACCACAAGAAAAAGTACACAGCAACGCCTTCAAGGATTCAGTGATCGAACTGAAAAAGGACTTAAGAACATAAACTGATGAAATTAAAGAAAAGCTTTTTTTTCTTGACAAAAAAACAAAACAAAAAACAGCAAACATGAAACACACAAGCCAAACTACATTTTTTTGATTATTATTTTTTTTTTTACAATAAAATGTATGTTAGAATTACTTTCTGTGTAATTTACAATGCACAGGGTTAAAGAAGGCAAATAAAATACCCCCTTATTAACAACACTGACGGTTGACACAGAAACATGTGATGTTAAAGATTAACTACATTTAATCTGTTGCACTCTTCAAGTGAAACGTTGCTATATTACATTAGATTACACTCTTGTCTAGATAACAGTTTAGCATTCTTATTTGGGATTAAAATTACAAAAAGAAAAAAAAAATTAGGGGCACCCTCAACTGTTTTACCTGTTAAAGCTTTGATCATTTAACGTTCTGTTGAACCAATGGCATAAAAGTCGCTCCATCTAATAAAAAAAAAAAAATTAACACAACTATCTATCAGCTCAGCCTTTCCATTACCTGTTTCAAGAAGAAAAAAAAGCTGCGAGTGATTTTAATATCACTGACATAAAATCTTAATTTTAAATCAGTTAAAGCAACAGTTTATAGGGAAGCACGATATTGGACTTTTGGCCGATATCCGATACGTTAAAACTTATTTGGCCGATAACTGATACCGATATTTTTTATATACTTTCCTTTATCAGAACATAGCCCTCTTATTTAGGCTTACTTGCTACAAAAATTGTATAACAGCTGTAAGAGCTGGTGACATTTATTCAGTAACAGCCATATGATATGCATAGCACTTTAACTTACATTAAATGGAAAGTGTTAAATGTTATTTATTAGCATTAGTCTCCTGCGATGCTGTCTCACTTGTGGAGGCTTGTTCCAGGTATATAGCTGCAGTGAGGGATCCTCTGCACTCCTGTGCATGAAGGACAGACTTTTTAAGTTCAAAGTTTTTCTCTATCCATTGTGCCGTAAGACTAATCATGCTAACGAGGCTAACACGACGTCCAAATGTCTGTGGGAAAACTCACCCAAGTGCTATCGGCTATTAGCTTCTCAATGACGTCAGAAATGACGGCTTGTAACTTGGGTAAGGCTATGTCAGAAAAATATCTGACTGGGGACGATGTAGCGAGGCTCAACGTAGTCCAAAAATCTTTGGAATCTGACACCCTCAACGGAAAAAAAAAAAACCCTTCCGCATTGCCGACATTTTGACTTCTCCGCCGTGATCAGATCAGGTAGGTGCGCGTGACATCATCAGGTTGTGCTGGCGCTGCAGGCATCCTTGTCACTGGGTTGTCATACAAAAACTGCTTCTTTTATATCGGTGAGTAATTTTGATGGAATGGCCAATGTCCGATATTTAACTTTAACGCTAATTTCGGCCGATACCGATACCATGCCGATAATATCGTGCATCCCTAACAGTTTAGCTAAGTTAGCTAAAGTCATTTTAAATTACTAATTTGAATGACTTTAATGGTTCCGTTTTATAGAGTTTGATGTAGCAGATTAAAATGACAAAAAAGGCTAATTAGGTCTGATTAGGTTGAAAGCACAATAGGAGGCACATTAATTAAACAAACAAACAAAAACGTAAATCAAATGCATGTGATGCATCCTAAAATTAATCTGTCAGCCTTGTTGAATTTTCACTTTTAAAGAATCTAACAAAAGTAAGTCAGGGCCTCTGGACAGATTAAAAAAAAGCATTGGTTTGAGAGAGGAGTGAAGGAAGGCATCTTTGTGAAGAGAAACCTTCCATCATTAAACAGAGGAGGAGGCCTCCGTGTCCACTTGCCACCGTCTTACAATGCTGTTATTGCTTGTATCACTTAGCGCTCTGTGAATGGCAAGCTTATAAGACTGAGTTTTGTGCAGCTCCTCAGACCGACGAAGTCTTTTGGACAAAAGCCGAAACGTTTCAACAATTTTAGTCTTTTTTAACGCGTCTAGAGAACCTGACAACTTTTGTTAGATTTTTCTACCTGGATTATTGAGCATGCATCAGGACTTTTTAAGAAGTTTTATTTGTGAGAGTGCCGTTTTCACAGTCAGATGCTCTGATGACTATCACCAGGTAAATGCCTGAATTTGAAGCTTCGACACAAAACAAAGTTTAGGAGCTAGTTGGTTCAGTCTGTTTTAAACCGTCCAAGGTGGCAGACTGGCAACAAGATAACGGTATGTAGTTTATTTTGTTGATATTTTCTTCTAAAGCCATTTGACTCTTGAATAATTCCAGATGGTCCCTATCTTAAATCACATGTTCACTTCACAACAAAACAGGGAAAACCCTGCAAAAACGTTGACATTATTTGCTCTTTGTTTTAGGAAAAAGACCGTCGCTTTATTCTAAAAAAATGAGCCTGGTGGCAAAGAAAGGTCCGGGCAGTAACTTTGCACTGGATGCTTTTCAGCCCATCAACCTCACAGCTTTTAGAGGAAAACATCTAATTCTGGTCCACACCTTTTCTGACTAACAGATGAAATGTTGACTTCAATTTTTGAGAAATTACAGTGAAAAATGCAACTACTTCTTCTCCAAACCATCATCTCCTAGTTGCCAAACTCAAGTGTTGCACAAAATGTAAATATGGCCGATTTTGTCCATATGCACACATCCCTCTGTAAAACCCCCTTTTACTCAGACTTTCTAAGATAAAACTGATTTCTTAATACAATATTACTTGTTATATTGTTTTGTATATAAGATAATTGCTGAAAGTGATCAGGTTGATAAAAAAAATGACAGACATTAATTGATTCAGTTTTAAGAAGAAGATCTTAAGCTCAAAACAATGTTGTGTTATGTCATATACAGGATGGAAAGTATTTACAACCCTTATATTAGTATCAGTTCTAAGATTATTTTTTAAAGTTAAAAATAAAAATAAAAACGAGGAAGTTTAAAGCAACAATAGTCACTCTGTAGTCAGTTTTATCAGCGAACCTTACCTTCCAATTTATTCTTTGTTGAATAACTGAAGCTCATTTCCTGAAAAAGTCCCAAAGAAATCTCTGGACTGATGCAAGAAACGAGCTGGAAGTTGTGAACACCACAGGACAATGATGGGAGTACTGTGGTGTGGCCTAATGACACATTACAGAGTGAAACAGCAACTGGTGTGTGGAGAGCTGCAATAAGGGTTGTTAATGAGCTAAAAATGTTTCAAACAGGCATCTAAACCCAAGAGGAGTGATTGACAGGATATGAATATCAGCAGTTGTTAAACCTTACAGGAACATACAGTAAGTAGTCCCTCATGTTTTGCTGGGGATCCATACCCTGAAGACCTGCGATAAATGAAAAACCACCAAGTAGGAATAGTAATACAAGTAGTAAGTAGTAGTTTATTTGAATATATATATATATATATATATATATTTATATATATATATATAGATATATATATATATATATATATATATTTATTTATATATAAAAAAATGTTTTAAACCCTTCACACACTCTTGCAATATTATAAACGTTTCTAAACTCTAAACGCTCTAAAAGAGCACAGAGCATCATGATTTCAGCTCCCTGCCGCCGCTGCTCTTTGCCACCTGCAAGCGCTCTTGGCCACGCCCACTTTCCGCTCTGCACGGTGAACAGCTGATCAGCTGCAGGAGGAAGTTTATCCTGCAGTATGGGCAGCATAAATGTGCAGCAGGTGCTAAATAATTTAGAATAATTCATTGTAAATAAAAATTCCATGCCGATCGTGCGGCTCATCCATCAATCAGCCAATTGTGTGTCATGTCCAATCTTAATTTGAAAAACCACGATAGAGCGAGCCTGCGATAAATGAACCACGAGAGAGCGAGGGACTACTGTATTCCAATTAAAGTCAATTATCTTTTTTAATAAATCTGTACTATCTATAGATAAATATTTGGCTAGAAACAGACCTCAAGGGTTTAGACGCTCTGTTGAGCATGAGCTTGTTCTTATTTGAATCATTTTCAGCTTCATCGTGGGAACAAACACCGTTACAATAGGAATACTGACAGGTTTGGGAGGTCTGTAACATTTATTCCCATCAGAAATGGTTATGGTGTGGTTGAAGTAGAAGGGTGACTGGAAACAAAGTAGAGTTTAGGAAGAACCAGAAATTGTCTAAAGCAATTATTTCTTTTTCTTGTCCTACAAACTGTGAACCCAGCTGGTTTCCACCACAGAAATGTTAAATGAACGTAAGACTAAAGAACCAACATTACTCCTGAAGCCCAGGATTGAAACCCACTTAAAAACCAGAAAGAGTTTGGGTTGGGACAGTAAAGATTGCTGGCATCCTCTGAATGGGTGGTTCCATTCTTTGGCAGGGCAGATCTCGTCTTTTCTTCTCGACCTATCCATTCAAATTTCACTGTACATGTACACTGACCACAAATGTCACTAATCCTTTCAAAGTGTTCACTTCTTCTTCGCCACTGATTTTCTTCTTGAACACTTGGAAAAGAAAAACCTCTTAGGTGAAATACGAGGGGGAAGGAGACTCAAGTGCAGTCAAAGTCTTTCAGAGCTAAAATGTACATATCTTAATTTCTTTTAAATTTGTTCTCATTTGTCATTATTAACATCTTAATTGATAATTTTACTCAATGCATAAGCGTTTTGTCATTATTTAGACTAGGGTCACTGTGTGTACTTGTTATGTAAGTGTTAAGTAGCTGATTTAAAACCTTTTCTTCAATTTGTCAGAGGGAAGGGATTTCAAGTCCAGCTGTCTGCGTCTTCCCCAAAACAGACTCCAGTGAGCTCCCTTTAGTCAACAACTGTTTAGGGTTCAGGTCTCAGGTTTAGATCACTTCTTTAGTGTGTGGGTGTGTGCGTGGTTTAAGGTGTGTAGGAGTGTTCGTGTGTAAAAGAGTGAGAGGTCATTCAAGTTGTGGATCAAAGTTTGACATGAAGCTCAGGAGATTGAGGCATCTATCTGTCCTTCCATCTACTCCCCATTCTCAGACCTTGGCTTCCAGCAGCTCCAGGAAGAGTTTGTGCATTGGGACTTTTCCATCCTGCTTGATGCTGTAGAAATGCTGCACAGCTTTAGTGGAGGTCTGGCGAAGCAGGGGGAGGGTCATGAGCAGCTTGCCAGCCCGGCGGGGATCCTCCTGGTGTTGGGAAGCCTCATAGTCCTGCAGGGCCTCGTGCAGAACATCCTGGAGCTTCTGCACGGCCTCCACATCCTCGATATGCATGGAGTCTGGAGACATTAAAAAAAAAAAAGTTAGTGTTAGCTTAAATAATTGGTAAACATTTGGAGCAGCATTCACTGCTGCTGATGCCCTAATTTCCATTATTATCTATTATTTTGTGAAGCCTACTCTGAGATGACTTCTGTTGTGACTTGGCGCTCTGTAAATAAACTGAATTGAATTGAACGAACAGAGTAATGGTTGGTAGTTCAATAACATCTACTGTTGTCATCATTCTTTGTTAAAATCAGGTCTTTCTTGTAAATGAGTCATCGAGGCTCAATGAGACTAACCTGTATAAATAAAGGTTGAATGAACAGACATTTAAACATGAAAAGGTCATTTTATAAGGAGTTGAGTCTTCTTTTGTAAGCATCAGAACTTGCAGGTTTTACGTTACTGAAATCTCCCACAAATCAGTTTATGAGCTCAATAGTATGTGTTTTTTTTTGTTTTGTTTATTACAAAGTCAGCTCAGAGGGAAAAGAATGCCACAAATTGAATTCAACATCTAAACAAGAACACTGGAGAAATGCTCCCAAGTATCAAAAGTTTAGGTCAAAAATCCAATAAATGTAAATTCTATTGACTTTTGATTGATTTTGACGTCTGCAGCAGAAATGCAACATCCTTCCTGTTTGAAAGATACATTTGCATTTAGATATAAACCATTGAAAATGCTTAGTTTAAAAATACTTGCATTAAGTAAAAGCACTTTTTTAGTTACGTGTAATATTTGGGCTGAAACTAAGGCCAGGAATGGGGCTTTACCACAATATATATCCAGGCACTGCTTTTCTCTCTGTCTTTAAGTTGTGTGTCTGTGGGTGTGATGAATGAACAGGTGAAACACGAGTGGGAGGAGAAAAAAGACACAGACTTGTAGAATGATGAAGAGATGCAGCAACACCTAATAGTTTTATTTGCCTTTGTGTGTGTGTGTGTGTGTGTGTGTGTGTGTGTGTGTGTGTGGGTGTGTGTGTGTGTGTGTAAAAGAACATGTGTGCACACATCTGTTATCTCTCTTTGAGCTGGCATGTTCAGTGTGTTTCAGCATGCACGGCAGTAAAGGATGAGAATATCCCTCAGTAATAATGCTCCGTATTGCCCCTTAGGGAGGCAAAGTCTTAATGTGAGCTGGCCTTTAGCTTCCAACCTCCAATCAATGTCTCCAATCAATGACTACATGCATGTTAAATAATAATCACAAGGCAACTATCAATGGCCTCTTCCACTCCACCATCGACATCCACGTGCGCAAAACTGGCCTGGTATGTGGTTGAGTACACAGTAATAATTCTGTGTGTTTCAAGTACAAATCAGAAGACAACACAATCAGATGTATACTCTTTATATCACATTTTTGTAGACTGCACTGAGCATATAAATAACTTCTGTGATGCTACTCCTCTCATAAGGACTTCCATCACCTCTCTCTGGGGCAAGTCTTCATTTGGTAGCAAATAAATCCATCTTATACTCAGACGTAGTGTGACTCAGGCTCAGATGGGGAAAAAAGTAGAAAAACAAAACAAAACTGTGGCTTAAAAAGTAAGAACAAGTGTGAAACACAATAAAACTGCTGCTCGGACAAATCAAACGAGTCAACACAGCCACTTACACACAGATTTGCACATTAACGCACACAAACACACAGATCTATGGAGTGTAATGCATGGATCAGTATGCAGGACCAGACCGGTCAGTGGGCTGGATTCTGGTGGGGATCAATAGAAAGCTCAGACTCTTAGATTTTTGGCTTGAGGTCTGCTGTTGTGTATTTTTATTGTTTATATACTTTGCAGTATAATGATCTTTTACTTGGTGGAGAACAGTAATGACACGAGGGTGAATATAATAAACAAGATTGTGAGTTGAATTTATGCTCATAGTTTTGATTTGCATAAAAAGCATCATACATAATATATTGTTAATTTAATTTTGTTGATAATTTTTGGACACCTATTTAATAACATGGTTCAAACTGTAGCTAGCAAAGTTAAAGAAAACCAGTAAGATCCACATAAAAATGATTTAACTGTTCATTTTTTTTCTTGGATTTTTAAAAAACAATAAAAATGTGGTCAGGCTGGAGTTATAATGAAGCATAACGAGTATCACATTGCTCTCTTAGGTGTGGTGTTTAAGCTGATAGACATGGCTTTTGGCTGTGCTCTGACCTGCCGCACACTCACAAGTACAACAGCACACGTTAATGAGCACGAGCACACGCGGTTGTTAACGTGCACATGTTAACATGAAACTCACACACATAAATGAGTGCAAAACATACACATGTACACGCACGCATGCACAAACACACACACACCTTTTGTTTCCCATGGCTAGTTAAGCTTTCTTTACATGTGGAGCACGTTTGCTAACATTTCTTAAGGCTTGGCTTCATTAATGCAGACGATTAGCATCCTGTGAATTAATTAGTGTCAGTGCCCTTCAAAATGCTAATGCTAGCATTCTGTTGTCTTAAAGTGCCGTTAGAGTCGAGGCAATGATAGAAACTTCCTTCTGTGTTGGAATTCAGCTGTTTGGTCTTTATTTGGTTAAAGGAGCCACAATTGAACAGTTTTAGAAGAGTTTTGTAACCTACCCCTGCCCATCACAATCAATGAAACTTTACATTTACATATGGAAATCAATCATCAGACTATTGTCCAATTTGCATTTCATTTGATGAGCTCGTTAGATATTTTTATAATGTGGTTTAATGTAAAAAAAAAATCCCAAACAAACAAACAATAAGATAATCAGATAATTACATTAGGAAATCAGAGGGACAAAAATCTCTGTCTGGGTGAGATGGGGTAGGGGTGGGATTACTCCTTTATAAATACCTTAATCCAGAGGAACTTGAAGTTGGCAGATGCATCAAACTGTTTTGTGACACTTTAGAGATTCACTCATAAGTTAATATATCTGTAATTTGGTTTGCAATTGTAAATTTTTACACACAGGCAAATAAAATGATTTACCTTTAACCTTAGCTATGCTCTAATTTCCTTCTAGACAGATGTTTTAGACTACATGAATTGTACACTTTACAATAACACTGTGTACTTTGGTTTTTAGTGAGCACATGTTTATTTGCAGTTTTGAGAATTTCAAACTGTACAACACATTGGCCAAAATGCCTAATTGCTGCTTTGTTATTTGCTACTTCTGTTATATTTTCTTCAAAAATACAAGGAAGCTGTGCTTTAATTAGGCCTGTATGTAAGTCTGTTCTTGGTAAAACAAAGAGTTATATGGAATTTATTGTATTTATGCAACACATTATAACCATTAGGAATTTGAGCATTGTTGTTCAGCTGAACAGAATCAGCAGATTTTCTCATTTGACATAAACACCAACACACACACACATTAACAGAGGCAAGAGATTGATTGTCACACAAAGCCCACAGGACAAGATATCAATATTTTCTGCATATGCATAACAGTATGCATAACAGTATATACACTGTGCGTGTGATAAAATTACTTCATAGAGTAACTTTTAGATAATATATGTGTGGTAATGTTATTATCAAAGAAAATAAATTAATAAAATATTAGTTTATACTTTTATGTGTGCAAGTTTTTTTTTTTTGCTTGTTTGTGTACTTTGGTGACGGCAGGAATGAAAGGCTCCCACCTCCCCATTAAAAGCTGTTGCGCTGCATTCTCCTGTTTAAACACATTGTATTGACAGCTTTCCCCTTGTAATTAAAGAGTACTGAAGAGCTGGCCAGCTTCCAAGACAAAGTTCAAAAGATGGGTCATGAGAGGAAGAAGGGGTGTGTGTGCGTGCGTGTGAGGGAGTGTGTGTCAGTCAGCTGTCGATGCAGCTGGACACATCAGAGACGGGGCTTTATCGACAGATTTTGGGTTCTAATGATTTCACTTTATTTAACAGGCATCTGAAGAGACAACTATGCTAATTATAAAAGGGGTTGCCACTTTGTTTGGGGGTGGAATTTAGATTGAACATGTCTGTGTGTGTCTGTGCTAAACCCCAATGCTAGCGTGCATGCATCAAATATGCGTAGGTGACTACTAGAGTATGATGGGACAAATGTGTGGGTTTGCCAGTGAAAGTGGGACACATGACAACTCCTTCTTGTAAAAAAGAAAAACATATCATTATGTATAAGTTTGCCTCATGTTTCACAGAAAGGTTTGTGTGTGTTTGTATGCACACTACTGAAATCTGTCCTCTGATGTTTCAGCCTAAATGAGCCCCATGGGACTGAATATTCCTCAAATTAACTCTTCTCCGACAGTCGAACACCAATCTGCACACAGACAACAACAACAGCAGCAGCTAGGTGCGAACAGTTTCAAACCTGAGTTAGCCAAAGCAATGGCCTTTAGAGTGACAAATTCCTCCTTCTCCAGTTTCATAGCCTTGTATTTCTTGACCAGCTGAAGGATGGCGTTGTTCAGGTCCAGAAGTCCAGCTAGTTTTGACTGGTCCTCGTCCATGATGTAATCCTCAGCATACACCAGCTGAAGAGAAGAACAGAGAGGTTGGAAATTCAAACGTGCACCTGCGTAAATGAAGACAGCAGGAATGAAACACTTACCTTGTCTTCAAAAGACAGTGAGCGGTAAACAACACGCAGAATTAAGATCTCCATCCATGCACTCTGCAGTAGACTCATCTGGTCTGCCAAAGACAGCGTGGAGAAACCTGGGAAAGAAGGAAAGAAAAATGATTAGCAAGATAAGGTTTTGTCGTTGCAACTAACTCCAGTTAGCTGTTCCTGTTGGTGGAAAATGCCATGTGAGTCATTTAGGTGTTGGTAGTTATATATTCGTGTTGTTTTTGCACCCCATGAGAAATGCTGGTTAAGTTCAGAGGTGGGCACAGCTAACCAAAAAGTTAGCTTTGCTAACCTATATTCTGCTAACTAAAAAAAAATCTTTGCTTATGCTAAACTGCTAAACAGGTAAAAAAAATACATATAGCAGAAACTAATGCTAAACCCCACCTGCTCAGATGATTGTCACTTAGTTTGCATCACATGACTTTGTCTTTTTCTAGTTGAAGCTGCGTTGACCAATAACGTCTTGTCACATTTACACATAGTAGGCCAAAAGTGTGCCTGACGAGACTCGCCCACAACATACAGGAACAAGCTCGTGAATTTTGTTAGCGGCCTTAACATTGGCAAAATCTAATTTAGCGGAAGCTAATTCCACTAACAGTTTCAAAAGTTAGCAAAAACGCTAATCCACTAAACAAAAAAAAAATAGTTAGCTATTAGCTGTTAGCAGATTAGTGGAACTGTGCCCACCACTGGTTAAGCTAAAAGGCACTGTACGTGTTGACGATAAGCGTTAGCAATACAGTTTTTGATCAGGAGACACATTTATAATGTTAATAATTCAAATGCTAAGCTGAAATGTAAGAAACCTAAGGAAATAAGGAGAATAGATTGTTTTGGAGCTAGAGGGTCAAGTTCATCTCTTCCCTATCTATTCCCCTTCCACCTTTCCTCCATCCAAATGATCAGAGTCCTCCTCCTTCTCTTCCTCCTCCTCTTCTTTCTCCTTGGCTTCCTCTCTCCGTTGCACTCAGGGCTATTCTCTGGGGGATGGCAGACCTTATCTCCACCTGCCACAGCCTCCATGGATCAATGTTGGCCATCGTTGCATCACTGTTCAAAAGCACATGCTAATTGCTGTTATTGTCTCAAAACGGCTTGTTTCTTCAGTGTCAATCTCTATCTTTTTGCTTGCTTACTTGTCTTTTTCCTCCAGTAGCAATCTCTGTGTTTTTATCTGTTGGTGTCTGTCTGACAATTGCTTTGTCTGATGCCTCTTCCACCTTGATACGCCTTGACCAGGGTGTCCTGTCTCTTTTGGCCTGTAAGCTTTAAATTTGTTCCAACTGCATTTGAATGTTTATTCCTCATTTGAAAACTGTGATAATTTTCTTCCTTCGATGTCCTAGCCTCTTACATATTGTCTGTTTTTCCCTTTATACGTCTTTAATGGAACACCTGCCCACTCACACCTCTTCTCACAGCTGTCCTCTTCACGCACCTGTCCATTCGCACATGCCCGCCTGCCTATATACGTATGCTTTGTGAGTTCAAGCTTCCGTAAGGAATTCAGAGACAGTGGGCCAGGTGAGCCCACCTGTCAGACCTCGCTGCAGCATCCCAGTTTGTGTGTGTGTGTGTGTGTCTGAGAGGAGCATCCTGCCAAGAGAAGCAGGCAAATGAGCAAAAACATCTTTCTTTGGTAACATCTGCTGTAGTGTGCCTCCTCTTGAGATGCAAGATGTGTGAGGGCACGTGTGATGGTGATTTTGTGTGTGTGCATGTATATTAGGGGCTCCCATCTTACTGTGTGTTGATGGGTAATGGCAGGCGTCTCATTATGTCAAGTTTGCAAGCTATTGTTGCTTGTAATGCGCTTCAAGTCACTCTGTTTAATACTGAACTACTCAACAAACACATACTTAAAATAAAATAGGCTGCAAGACAAACACACAGACACAACCTCATACTTCAATAGACACAAATGCATAGGAACACTCTGGAACAAGTCCAAATGTGTATGATTAATACACACACAGTGCAGTGAAGGGAGCAGTATTGCTGCCAACGAGAAGTGCCTTTGTCTACTTAATGAAATCATCAGAAGGGATTAGAAGTAAATTTCGTAAGGGGGTCTTTGTACACCTACGCATGCACACACGAGGCAGATGTCTTTAGGGGGTCCTTAGTACTTCACCACTCATTTTGGGCAGAGGAAATATATTCTGGCGTGGCTAAAATTAACACACATGCTCTAATTGAATCTGTTCAGCCCTGGGGTCAAGTGGAGAGAAGAGGGTTAATATCATTCAATAGTGTCACTACTTTTTACTTCTCAATGTGTGTTTTTAGCGCTCAACTACTGGTTGCAGATCTGAGGATTCAATCATTTTTCACACATTCCTCTGATGGAAACTGATACTGAAAGAATGGAGGAACACAAGGCCAAGAAGAGTGCACAACTTACTTAACTTATATACCTAAATGTGTATATACATACGGGTAGTAACACCAACTGTAATGATGGAGGTAAACATTTAATTTATTTTTTCATCACGTAGGTTCAAAGATACAAAAAGGGTGCTTTTGAATCAAGCTTATTTATTTATGTATTTTCCGAAAACAGATTGAGAACTCCAAACTTTGACTAAAATACTATATTTGATGATAACAATAAGTTTGTGAAAATGCTTAAAGTCTGGAAGAAATCTGTTAACATTGCCAAAAAACTATCTGCATGTGCTGTTTAAAAAAAAATATTAAAAGGGTATATGAATACTGCCATTCACAAATACCTTCCTTTCTAATTACAAGTACAGTATATGTATCCAAACCCAACCAAATACACACACACAGAGAAAGAGCGAGCGAGAGAAACACCAATAATTAAAACCTTGTAATTAATTTATTGAGCTGAAAGTGCAGCTTTTTTATTGAGGCACATCATTGATTTTTATCAGTCTACGTGTGTATGAATATGTTTGGTGTGCGTAGTACACAACTTGTGTAATTTTGTACACACATTTACAATATTTGCATCTGAACTTAGAAAAAAAAAAAAAAACACTGCCACACTGTCAAAGTGCTGGCTTGCCATTTCAGCAACATATTTGTGTGCATAAATTCCCATATGTTTCCATGAATATCTAATTGTGCAACTCCTTTTGTGTATGTGTGTTTCTATGTGTGTGTGCGTGTGTGCAAACTACTCCCTCTCCCCTCCTCACCAGTCTGTCTGCACCGTTCAGCCATCCAATGCCTCTTATCTGTCTGATTAATAGGCGGCCGGCTTCAGGACAAATTAATTAACAGATAACACCATCTCTCCCTTCTTTGCTTCCACCCCACCTCCCCTCCTTCTCATGAAGCGATCGATACAACAGAAGAAAAGAAACATCAATGGGAATTTAGTGCTGATGATGGAGAGAGAGAGAGGTATTGATGGAGAGAGAGAGTATAGGAAAGAGTGAGATCGAGAAGAGAAGAAAGTAAAAAGGGGAAAGGTGGTAGAAGGGGAGGTGATGATGGAGATGGGAGGGGTGGAGACCTTTCTTTCATACCTGTGATTTCACTTGACAAAAGAAGGTTCCTTATTTGGCACTAATTACATTTCCTTTCTGCCCATTGTTGATAAAGCACCTCATACTGAGTGAGCAAGTGCAAGTCTGTTATAAAACTGCTCGTGTGTGCGTGCTGGCTTAACTGTGCGTGCAGCAATCTAAGATTAAAATTAAGTTGAAAACGATTTGCGTGGAAACATGTTATGATGTTCAATGGAAAATAAATATCGAAACAGCAATTTTCTCGTTTATTATTTCAAAATATTAATCTGTCTTAGTAGGATAAATTACTTTGAAATTGAAGTTATATAATAAAATTATTAGTCAAAGCATGATAGCTCCAAAAAGAGAAATAAACTGAATTTATGTGCCAGATTCAAGTAGAAATTTGCATCTGTCAACTTCATTTTGGTGGTGAGTCAGCAGGTGTGAGGAATAAGCTCTTTATGTAATCCCCATTTATGTTTTTGTCCCTCCTATAAGGCCATTCTACATAATATTAATGACTGATTTCAGATATTTTATTCATTGTATAGCATATCCAGAAAGTTCTAAACTTCTTTCAGTCAAACATAAATGCCTTTTAGACCTACATGTAGGTGAGATAATAGAGAAAAAAAATTCAAGACAATTCTTTAGGAGGTCATATTGCATTAAAATATATATTTTTAAGAACAATTGTTATAATTAATTTATTTTGTGCTTACTACAAAGTATAGTATATGGACTATACTTATATAGCTGCATTCTATCTTATCAAGATAAGAAAAGACTATGGGAAGCAGCCTTCCCACCATCCCGGACCTCTACAATTCACGTTGCAGGGGGAGGGCAGTCCGCATCATGAAGGACTCCACTCATCCTGTACACAGTCTGTTCGAGCACCTCCCATCAAGCAGGCGGCTGAGGAGCATTCAGAGCAAGACCACCAGGCTCAGAAACAGTGTCTTTCCTGTAGCTGTCAGAGTGCTGAACTTGAGCTGCACTTAATTCAGCTTCATCTTACTTTTTAAAATAACTTTATTTTATATATATATTTATTTATTTGTTAATTGTTAGGCTTCTAGATCTGAGACCAAATTTCATACCACAAACATGCAAATGTGCGGTGGTATGACAATAAAAATCATTGAATCCTTACCCATTCATACAGCACTCTACTATATTTAGACAAAGACTAATCGGAGCTTTATCACATTCATACACCGATGGGACACACATTGGAGGCAATGAGGGGTTCAGTGTCTTGCCCAAGGACACTTCAGCATGTGACTGCTGGTGGTGGAATCGAACCTCCAACTCTTGCATTGGAGGACGACTGCTCTAACCACTCAGTCACAGCCGCCCCCTAAATTATGTTTATTTGCTTAAAATATGAAGGCAGCCCTTTCAGTCAAATTGTAAGTTAAAACAGGTTTGATTTTCGGTGCATGTTAAGTAAGAACACATTTTAGTTGCACAATAATTTTGTTTGTGAACAAATTACTTAAGCTGAGGTCAAGTAAGTGAAACTATGTGGTTGTGTGTGCTTTATGTTTATGCTTAAGTTTCCCAAAAAAGGCAAGACGTGCCACAGTATCTAA